TTTTTTTTTTTTTTTTTGCTTCACTGCCTCTGCCACATTGGAAATTGTACCAGTTAGTTTCTTTGAATGTTGCTAAAAGGACATTTTGTGTAGGGTCAAGTTATTTTTATATGAGTTAATGTGAAGTTGTAAATGGAAATCTTTCCTTAAAGTGTAACACAACGATGTCTGTAGAAATCTGTGTCTCTCTAGAACCTGTGCTGTGCAAGGGCCTTCTCACTCATGCTGCTGTGTCCTTCTGCACCATTCAGACTTGTTAGATAGATGTGGGTTTATGACTGCTGTTTGCCTGGTACAGTAGCTTTCATCACTAAAAGTTGAACTTGTCGAAGGAGTCCTATAGTAGTTTCCATGTTAGATACGGTTTTATCCACCATACATCTGTGTATTTTCTCTTTAGGTGACTGAACGTTTAAGAAGTTTGTATGCATCGTTACTCAGCTTTTATGAACTGCTGTATCCTGTTAACGCATACTGTTTTGTGACTCCAGTATATCTTACCTGTACTAATCAAACTTGAATAAAGGTTTTTATTGTAACTTAAAAAAGAAAACCTTCAGGGCAGTTCTCAGACATTTGTTCACTTCACCAGAGAAGACACGCAGAAGGCAGAAGTGCATGGCAGAGGCAGCCCCTCGTCTGACACAGAGCGGTCAGAGCCATCAGAGAACCGGCCATGCCCAAGCTGAGGACACTGGGCCTGCGTGCTCCATCCCAGAGCCTTCAGAAGACCCTGCAGCCCCATTCCTGGTTCTCACTCAAGACAAACGAAGGCTGATGTGCTCACGTAACCCCACACGTGAACGCTCCTGTCTAACCTGAAAACAACCTAGGTGCCCTTCGACTGTGGCTGGATAAATGTTGGGTTCCAAGGACAAACCAGTGGTGTGCACAACAACGCAGTGGACCCCAACTGGCCGGGCTGGGAACCAGACATGAAGATGCCACCAGGCAGTGCCCAGTAGCCCTGCGTGTTCACCAGCAGCTAGAGGATTCACTCATATGTCCTGAAGACCTGGGACATTCTGAGCAAACACCCCATAGCCAGGAAGAAAGTTAGCTGGACAGGAAGGTCCCCCTGGGAGACCCATGGGCCCTGGGAGACCCACAGATGCCTCCCACTTGAGCCAGGGGGCAAATGGGGTAGCAGGCCTCACAGTGCAATGTGTGCCCTAGAACACTCTAGAACCGTCTGTGATAGCAGCGGACAGCAGTGTCAGGGTGGATCCAACTGCTCGGTCCTGAGCCCCAACACACACCAGCTGCTCCCTGTGACCACTGGGTGGCCAGCCATTGGGGCAGCTGGCCCTGCAGCCCCGCAGTGCCTGGAGGTGACAGTCTTTTCTTCCTCTCTGGGCTCTGGGGTGGGATGTTTATGGCCCCTGGGAACACTGTCCTGGGCCATGAAAGGCCTCTTGTCTCCTACTCTTGGCCCTGCCCAGGCCCAGCAGCCAGCCTGGTGATCCTCCTCTGGGACATACAGCTCTCTGGACATTCTCTGCACCAGGCACCACCAGGGGGGATGGGGCCCTGGCAGGGGCTACCTCATCAGAGGTCACATTCAGACCAGGCATCCAGCTCTGAGTCCTCTTGCAGCCTGTATCCCCACAAGCCCCTCTGCGCTGCAGCGGAGAGAGAGCCCGGTCTTCCTGGCTTGTGGAGAGCTCCCCGCAGCGGACAGGCACTCCTGCCCAAAGTTGTCCCCACCAAGTTCTAGAATGACAATGCCTCTCTCTTCCCAGAGACAAGTGACCTGCTGCAGGGTCTCCTGCCACCAAACCTTTCTATAGTGCCCTCGGGACCAGAGGCATCCCCAGGGCTCAGGCAGTCCCCGCCC